AAGACTGGCTCTGATTGGAAACTGTTCTTTTTTTAAAAAAAATTTTTTTTAACGTTTATTTATTTTTGAGACAGAGCATGAACGGGGGAGGGTCAGAGAGAGAAAGGGAGACACAGAAACTGAAACAGGCTCCAGGTTCTGAGCTGTCAGCACAGAGCCCAACGTGGGGCTTGAACTCATGAACTGCGAGATTATGACCTGAGCCGAAGTTGGACGCTTAACCGACTGAGCCACCCAGGCACCCCTGATTGGAAACTGTTCTTTAAACATCTTATTCTGCCTGGGTGGTTCAGTCAAACATCCAACTGCAGCTCAGGTCATGTTCTCACAATTCATGGGTTCGAGCTCCACATCAGGCTCTCTGGTGTCAATGCATACATAGCCTGCTTCAGATCCTGTCTCCCTCTCTCTCTGCCCCTCCCCCATGTGTGCACGTTCTCTAAAAATAATCATTCTTTTTAAGTCTTATTATCCCATCCATATAATTGAACAGATTGATACTTATACAATAAGAATTACACTTAATGGGCCACCTGGGTGGCTCAGCCCGTTAAGCGACTGACTCTTGATTTTGGCTCAGGTGATGACCTCATGGTTCTGGAGTTCAAGCCCTGAGACCAGCTCCAGGCTGACAGTGCAGAGCCTGCTTGGGATTCTCTGTTTCTCCCTGCTCTCTTTCTCTTGTGCACACACGCTCGCTCTCTCGCTCTCTCTCTCGAAGAATCATACTTAAGACAATCTAATGAAAGTTCTGCTCACTTGGCTTTCAAAAAACTTTTAGATGGAATTATAAAGTCTTCAGTGCTAAAAGAGTTTAAGATTCAAAGACTGATACATACACTGTCTTTTTGACAATAAACAAAAACATCACTGAGTCCACACCAATGAAATGAACAGCTGTTTAAGCTACAATTTATGTAAAATGTTCTGTGACAATGGAGTTTAAAATCTAGGTGGCAGTCAAAACAGAAAATATATGAAAGGTTTAATTTCACTGAAAGCTATCAGGTTAAATGCTTATAATGGGAATGAAATCTGAATCTGCTACCCTGAGAAGGCAGAGGTGTTAAGAGAGACCATCCATCTTTTCTTCTTGAGCACATTCATTCATTCATTTGCTTGAATGCTTGCTATGTGTTAAGGCTTAGAGATACAAAGATGCAAAATATTTGGCTTGCTATCTTAAGAGTTTATAATCCTAAATCCTAAATCTAGAGTTTAATAATCATCTACTTTTGGAGAGCAGTTAACTGAATAAAGCCAATACATAACTCTAAAATAAATTACAATTACCTAATAAGGAAATATTCTCAGCCTCAGTTTCTGTTCATGCTACTCCTAAGATCTTATACAGATCTAACAGAGGTGCACGGTCCAGCCCTGAAAAATCTGACACCTTAAGCCAAAACACAACTAGAAATCTGTCACCGGTCAGGAAACAAACTCCAGTCAGGAACCTGTTCCTAAATTTTCAATTCATACTGGAATGAAGATAATTCAGCCACACACAAATGGGATGTGGAATACATACTTAAAAACAATCACATTGGATGTGTATTTAGGGAGTACGCTTTTTTAGTATCTATAGATTTTCTCTTAATTTTTAAAGAACATCACTCAACGGGGTGCCTGGGTGGCTCAGTCGGTTAAGCCTTGGACTTCAGCTCAGGTCATGATCTCACAGTTTGTGAGTTTGAGCTCCGCATCGGGCTCTGTGCTGACAGCTCAGAGCCTTCATGAAGCCTGCTTCGGATTCAGCGTCTCCCTCTCTCTCTGCCCTTCCCCTGCTCACACTCTGTCTAATAACTGAATGAACGTTTAAAAAATAAATAAAAAATAAGGAACATCACTCACTGTGAGCTTCCTATGACATCTGTATAAGAAATTGGGGAGAGAGGAAGCTGGGAGCAGCTGGAAGATGTTTTTCCTATGCAGTTTTTCCCATAGGAAAATGTTCTTAGATATACTGATTTTGTGGAATTTTTCGCAGACCACTCCTAATTATCCAACTCAGAATTTGACTAGGGAACACCAAGTATAGCACTGTTACAGAAACTCAGTACAAAGCTGCTTGCATGAATGAATCCATATATTTGAATTCCCCCAACAGCAGGGTCTTGACAAGAGCTGGCAACCAAGCTAGCTGTATATTCGTGGGATGTATAGATGGAGAAACGAGCAACTGTTCCCCTTTTGGGGTACAACTATGTCACAGGCCACAAGAGAACAAGAGTCTGAGTTACTTTCGAAGGGAAGTGAGGGAACGTCGGAGTTGGGACTATCCGACAGGCTGGGGAGAGGGACGAGGAAAAATGGGCCCAGCTAGCCGCGGGAACCGGAGGGGAGGTGCTGGGCGGCTCACCTTCACATGCTCGTAGTAGCTTCCGGTGCGCAGCAGCCCGACGTCTTTGAACTCGGAATCACAGCTCTTCAAGCCCCGCAGCAGGTGGTCCACAACCTTGTTCACAGTCTCAGCCGCCAATGAGATTTCCTGGCGCCTCAGCCTCAATTTGTCTAGCACCGCCCGGGGATTCCAGCCGCCGGGCGCCGCCCCCGAAGCTGAAACTAGCGGGCCAGGGCTGGGAAACTCCGTGGGCTCTGGCGGGGGTCTCTGCTCCCCAGCGGCGCGCGCGCTGCCCCTGCGGCGAGAACTAGCCCTGGAAAGGGGCGGCCCCGCCGCCGGAGGCTCCAGCTTCGCCGCCCGAACCGCCTGCCCCTCCACCGCGTCCTCAGCGCCCAGAAGCGCCTTTTTGGCGCGGGCACCCCGCGCGCGTACCTGGGGTCTCTCCGGGGAGCCGGGGGTGCTCCTCCTCTGCAGGGATCCCGATGCCCCGACTGCGCCGCACTTCCGTGAGTTGGGTCGGGTAGCCCCAGGGGCGGACGGAGATTCGATGGGCTCCTCCCGGAGACTCTTCACTCCCTGAGCCGAAATCTTGGAGGTAGCGGTCGCGGCCTTTGAAGCTGCCCTCGTGGCCTTTCCGCCCCGGTGATCCATGGCTGGCGCTCTCTGCTCCCCGAAAGCCGGGAGACTCGGCTTCGCGAAAAGGCCGAGGGAGGAGAAGCCAGCAGTCAGAGCGAGAAATGAAACTTAAAAATCTGGCGGGAACGCAGGAAACAGGGCGGGGAGCACGCACCCTGGGTGAACCCTGGGAGTTCCCTGGGAGCTACGCCCCGCCCACGGTGGTGCGAAAGATGCTAACTTTCTCACCCGGCAGTGCAAGCGACGTGGCTGGGCGGGAAAGCACGCTAAAGCGGAGGGAAGCAGAAAACACTTTCCGGAGCTTTGAAACAAAGTTTGACGGATTTGCTCGCTTCCTGCCTCAAAGAATTTTTGGAGAACTACAGACCTTCTTGCACATTGAAGCTGGCAGAGAAACTTTTTATTTTTATTTTTTTATTAATAAAATTTTTAAATTTTATTTTTGAGAGAGATGGAGAACCAGCAGGGGAGGGGCAGAGAGAAGGGGAGGGATCTGAATTCACAAACGGTGATATCATGACCTGAGCCAAAGTCAGCCGTTTAACCGGCTGAGCCACCTAGGCGCCCCGACTGAGAAACTTTATTTTTTTTTTAATTTTTTTTTTCAACGTTTATTTATTTTTGGGACAGAGAGAGACAGAGCATGAACGGGGGAGGGGCAGAGAGAGAGGGAGACACAGAATCGGAAACAGGCCCCAGGCTCCGAGCCATCAGCTCAGAGCCTGACGCGGGGCTCGAACTCACGGACCGCGAGATCGTGACCTGGCTGAAGTCGGACGCTTAACCGACTGCGCCACCCAGGCGCCCCGAGAAACTTTAAATGTAAGTTTAAGTGAGGGGTCTTTTTTAGTAACGAGAAATAGGAAATGTTCAACTTTTACAAGGTGGGAATGAATTGAGAACTGCAATTAGAATAAATATTTCATTTTATTTGACTTTTTGAAAGCTCACACAGTCTTAAATTGTGTAGTTCTTATCCGTGAATTTTACCCATTGGTTCTCAAATCCCATAAAAAATTGGCACTTGCGCCTGGATGGCACAGTCCGTTAAGCATCTGAGTCTTGATGGATACAGTATTCCACTCAGATCATGATCTCAGACTTTGTGAGATCCAGCCCTGCAGTGGGCTCTGAGCCTCCTTGGAATTCTCTCCCTCTCTCTTTGCCCCTTCTCTGCTATTTCTCTCTCTCTCAATAAATAGACTTTCTTTCTTTCTTTCTTTCTTTCTTTCTTTCTTTCTTTCTTTCTTCCTTCCTTCCTTCCTTCCTTCCTTCCTTCCTTCCTTCCTTCCTTTCTTCCTCTCTCTCTCTCTCTTTCTCTCTCTTTTTAATGGCACTTAGGGGTGCCTAGGTGGCTCAGTTGGTTAAGCCTCTGACTTCTGTTCAGGTCAGGATCTCATGGTTCATGAGTTCAAGCCTCACTTCGGGCTGTGCACTAATAGCTCAGGACTGGATGCTGCTTCTGATTCTGTGTCTCCCTCTCTCTCTGTCCCTCCTCCACTTGTTTTCTCTGTCTTTCTCTCTTTCTAAAATAAATAAATTAACATTTTTAAAAAACGACACTTACATTTTAAATAATCCATGCTGCTTTGGCCATTGTGATTCCAGAGTTCTCCATACAGGCTTTCAAATATCTATTTCTAAAGCCAAGCCCTTTGCATAAATAAATATTAGACAGGAACCCCCTGGGTTTAGAGTGCTTTGATTGAGTTTTTTAAAAACCATCCTAACTATTTTTAGGTGTACAATGCAGTGACATTAAACACATTAACATTGTTGTGCAATCATCACCACCATCCATTTCCCCAACTCTTCATCTTATAAAATTGAAACTCTTCCCATTAAACAATAACTCCTGATTCCTGCCCTCTCCCTAGCCATGCAACCACCCTTCTACTTTCTGTCTCTATGAATCTGGCTCCTTTAGGTAACTCATGTAAGTGGAATGATACAGTATTTGTCATTTTGTGACTGGCTTATTTCAGTTAAGACAATGTCCTCAAGGGTTTATCCATATTATCTATACTGTAGCATTTGTCAGCTTTACTTTAAAACAATTTTTTAATGTTTATTTATTTTTGAGAGAGAGTGCAGGAGGGGGAGAAGCAGAGAGAGAGAGACAGAGAATCTGAAGCAGGCTCCATGCTGTCAGGCTATCAGTGCAAAGCCCGACATGGGGCTTGAACTCAGGAGGGGTGAGTTCATGACCTGAGCCAAAGTCAGACGCTCAACTGACTGAGCCACTGAGGCTCCCCTAGCCTTCCTTTTTAAGACTGGATATTTCTTTTTTTTTTTTTGAACGTTTATTTATTTTTGGGACAGAGAGAGACAGAGCATGAACGGGGGAGGGGCAGAGAGACACAGAATTGGAAACAGGCTCCAGGCTCTGAGCCATCAGCCCAGAGCCCGATGCTGGGCTCGAACTCACGGAGTGCGAGATCGTGACCTGGCTGAAGTCGGACGCTTAACCGACTGCGCCACCCAGGCGCCCCAAGACTGGATATTTCTACTGTAAGTATATACCACATTTTGTTTATCCATTCATCTGTCAATGGACAAAAATGTCTTGATGACTCTGTGAAAAGGTTTTCCTGAAATCAGTATTTTGATAGATCCTCTTTGATACAAAGACATTTTTTGCTTTTGTTTATGTTTTTTTGCTCTAGGGCAATGAGCCCTAGTTTGAATTGTGGCATGAGAAACGTGTTTTTTTTTCTTTTATAAAATGGAAGGAGGACTATTGTGTAGTCAGGCTTGTTCTCAAGCAGACCAATTTCAGAGAAAAGTAAAATGGTAGTTGAAATATGGAAATCCATTTCCTTAAAACTGCAAGTGCACTTGGGCAGTCTTCCAGGATGCCCAGGGGTATACTGACCTCATTCTGAAGACCTCTGCTCTATGATTCTATTTTTCTCCTCCAGGGGCTCCAGCTGCTTATCATGGAATCCTGTAAATGACTCTACAGTTAGCTTAATGCTGTCCTCCAGCTATTTCCAAATCTTCGAAAGTCCACTCATGTTTGCTTAACCAAAAATGTGTAAGCAACAATCCGCCAGGCCAGAATCACATATCTTTGCTGCTGACCTGTCACAGGAGAAAGTTTTGATCCTTACTTAATCTTGCTGCAGCAGTGTCTGGATCATAGAGGGAATGACTTTTTAGTTGGGTCTTGATATGGATCTTGGACATTATCTCATAGGAAAAGCCAAGAGATTTGAACTCACCGTTGGTGAGTTCAAGTTCCACACCGGTCTATGTGCAGTGTGGAACCTGCTTGGGATTCTCTCTCTGCCGCTCCTGCACTTGCTCTCTCTCTCTCTCTTTCTCTCTCTCTCAAAAAAATAAACTTAAATTTAAAAAGAAAAAGAAAAAAACAGTGCAAGAGGGATCAGGAATGAGGAATGGTACAATACCAAGATACTGGGAGAGTGACATTTGAGCAAAGATTTCAAGGAGGGGATACCCAGAAGAATGTTCCAGGCAGAAGAAAAAGTTAATGCAAAGCACCTAAGGGGTGACTATGCCTAGTTGTTCAAACAACAGCAAGTGTGGCAAGAACTGGTGAAGCTTAAGATGTTGTGTCAGTTATCAACTTATTGCTTTTCAGACAAGGGCTTAATATACCCTTCGAGATATGCTATCCGATAAGTGACAGAATTCCTTTCAGCATTTCTCTTTTCAAGTGTCCACTATGTTAACCTTTCTCAGGAGAGGTTGCAGGAGGACACTGTAAGACACTTTCCAACATAGTGGAGGAGTGGAAGGGGGTTGCAAGGAAAGGACAGACTAGTGAGTGTGAGAACATCTGGTAGAGCCTACCCCAGCCATAGACCCAGAAAGTGATCCCTCTAGGACCTTTCAACCTTGGCCTGGCCATAACCTGTCTACAAGTTACTGGACAGGGGAACCAAGATCCCTACCTGGCCTGCATAAGTTGCCTGTGGTCCAGAAGGTCACACACCAAGAAGTTGATCCTTCCTTAACCTGTGTGTATAAGTTGCCTGTGGTCCAGAAGGTCACACACCAAGAAGTTGATCCTTCCTCAAGCCTTGTGTGCAGTCAGCCTGTGGCCAGGAGGTCCACATAGTGCTGTTGCTCCCTCTGCAAGCCCCCTGTGTTATGTAGCCCGTATTCTCTGAAGGCCTTCTGCAATTGAGGTCTGAACCCCTTTTGAATTTATTCTTACTTGGGTACTCTCCCTCAGCCCTAGAGTACTATATAGAGTTTCCTTATATCTTATATTCTTTTATTTTGCTCTTTTTTTTTAAAGAGTATTTATTTATTTATTTATTTATTTATTTATTTATTTATTCACAACTCCGAGATCAAAAGTTGCATACTCTACCAACTGAGCCAGTCAGGCATCCCAGTATAGTCAATTTTTCTTATATTAAATACCTACTGTGTGATTTTTGTCTCCAGATTGGACCCCAGAGTGCTACAGAGTTAGTATTGGGGACGGGCTCAGGAGATAGATCCCTAAAGTTGGGGTTTAGAGATTGGTTTGGTTGTGCCCTTAGGCTTGAGCACAGTGCTCAAGGAGGAGGAACCAGAAAAATATACTGAGAAGGAGTAGCCAGAAAAATAGGAGGAAAATCAGAATAGCTTAATGTCTTAGAATACAAAAAAAAATGTGTCAAGATATGACTATGAAGGACACACATACAATATCCATCTTCTTGCCTATTTACACTTAAAACTTAATTAAAATCCAGTCCTGGCTACAGTATTAATGAAATACTCTTACACTGTTAATGCACCTGACCAAAAGCTTTCAGAAGGCTAATTTAGCCATCATCAATAATTTAAACATTGAGGAATCCTTTTACCCAGTATCTTCATTATAGAAAGAGTCCCATAAAATTAAAGAGATGTATGTACAACGATATTCATAACATTAAAAATTATAAACAGTCCGGGGCACCTAGGTGGCTTAGTCAGTTAAGCGTCTAACTCTTGGTTTTGGCTCTGGCATGATCTCACAACTTGTGAGTTTGAGCCCCACATCAGGCTCT